TTATTATTATCGGCAAGATGTAGATATTTCATGATATTATTGAACCGGTTTCTGGACATTGCTTCTGATACAGCCTCATTTTGCACATCAGCTTTAAGCTCCCAGTACATATTGCGACGTGGTAATGGAGCATACCCAGAAATATACAAAATTGCAATAAACAGATGAATTTCATCGTATGATGTTTTGAAATGGTGATCGCTTTTCTCCTTAGCATACTTGTTTGTTTCATTTACAAGCAATTCAACAACTTGGTCATCTAAAAACCATTCAAAAATAGTTGTTGGAGAAACAGATGCTGATAGGAATTCAGGTGGAGCTTGGTCCCAGATTCGTTGAGTTGTCAAATTCTGTTGAATGTCCCTTTTTCTCCATTGTGATGGTGGTCCTTCATCGAGATTCTGAAATTAAATTATTGTAAGACTAGTAGGTTTAAAAATTATAAGCATAGCACCGGAAAGTGATATAATATGTTTGGTACGAGGGCAATAGTGTTTTCCCAAACCAGTAACTTTAGGTCGCATTGTGTGGGATTTTAATACTCATCGAGATCTGTTAGAAGAGTTGTGTGAACAGAGACTGTTGGAACACGACAACATGGTGCGTTTTCCGGAAAGACAATCAGGATATTTGCTTTGAATTCGTATTCAATGTGGACGTGGTATCATTTGGCCCATGACATAACTCTATTGACTACTTACCGGTACATGTACATGATTGGGCGTATCATCGTCAACTGCGCTTAATGAGACTTCTTCACCAGACATAAGCTGAACGACGACATCTGCTTGGGCGAGAAGTTGCTGTTTAGATAGATTGTTGATTCCAGCACCATTGTCCTCGTCACCACTATCCTCGTCTGAAAGTGACCTTCACCCGGAGGCTGCAAAAAGATATCGGCTGCCTGATATATATTAATTAAGGAAATGGCCTCATGGACGTTGAAAACCCTAAAATTTTAATATAATAATATTAAATACCATACAAAATGCCAACGAATCAAGCATGCGAGAACGCGTTGCCAATTGTGGCCGTTGTCCCACTACTGGGACGTTTCGTTATTTACCAGGGATTTTCGCAATTTTCATTGTAATTAATAGAACTATTGTTTAAAACACTCTCATATAACTTTTTTTTCGACATGTATGTGCAATTTACATAAAAAACAATTATAAATACAAAGAATACAAACCTTTTTCTACTTGATGTGTTTGTTGACATTTTCAAGGCAAGGTCAAATTCAAGGGAGATAACTCTGCGAAATATGAACTTTAGACTATAACACTTAGGTCACTCCAAAGAGATAGTGTGTCCACTAATGTTTTATTGTGATGATATTAAATTCTACATCTTATATTAGTTGCTTGATTACGATTATTGGGGTGTCCCATAAATGGGACAATGGCTTAAAATAATTCCAAGCCACATATTTAGAATTGTGCATTTGGGTGTCTATCTAAGCATGTTCCTACAATCTTTTATTAGTATTTTCATAATGCTTGTAATAATTATCTAGTTTTTAAATTCTTTTTGTTGACCGAAGTAGCTGGGTCTTAAATGATTGATGCCTCAGAAGCATGTACACACACAGCAGCAATTTTCAAATCTTATTCATTTCAATTATCCAACATCCAAATATATCTTCTCAGTGAAGTATTTATAGAAAGAAATCAAATCCGAATTTTTCAAAATTTCAAAAGTACAGATGATCCGAGACATTTTAATACAAAAAAAAAGTGTCATCAATATTTAAGGCTATATCTCAAAAGCTGTTCCTCAGAAAATGAGCATCAAATGTCGGATACGCTCAAAACCCATGAGCATACCAAGTTTCATCAATACTAATGATCATACCAAGTTTCATCAATACTAATGGGCATACCAAGTTTCATCAATACTAATGAGCATACCAAGTTCCATCCAAACACATGAGCATACTAAGTTTCTTCAAAAGACGTGAGCATACCATGTTTCATCAATACACGTGAGCGTACTAAGTTTCTAAAAAAAAACACGTGAGCATACCAAGTTTAAAAAAAAACACATGAGCATACCAAGTTTCTAAAAAAAACACGTGAGTATACCAAGTTTCTAAAAAAACACGTGAGCATACCAAGTTTCATCAATACACATGAGCATACTAAGTTTCATCAATACACATGTGTATACCAAGTTTCATCAAAACAGATGAGCATACTAGGTTTCTAAAAATAAAACACGTGAGCATACCAAGTTTCATCAATACACATGAGCATACTAAAATTCATCAATACACACGAGCAAACCAAGTTTCTTCAAATCACGTGAGCATACCAAGTTTCATCAATACACATGAGCATACCAAGATTCATCAATACACCAGCTGAGCAAACCAAGTTTCTTCAAAACACGCGAACATACCAAGTTTTATCAATGCACATGAATGAATATGCCAAGTTTCATCAAAACACATGAGCATAGTAAGTTTCACCAAAACACATGAGCCAACCAAGTTTCTAAAAAACCGTGACCATACCATGTTTCATCAATACACATGAACATACTAAGTTTCTTCAAAACACGTGAGCATACTAAGTTTCACCAATACACATGTGTATACCAAGTTTTGATCCAAAACGTATGCTTATTTACCTTTACCATACTTAAAACTCAGTAGCTACCGGGTAATTCTGAAGACAATTATCATACCTCTTTGACATGATGCTACAATGTCTACTGGAATAAAAATAAGGAACATTTATTGTCAGTTAATTCTTAAGCTAGATTGACAGCTTCTAGAATTATTTATTGAAGATACATCATTTTTCTTGACTAAATATTATTTTTCATCCAAGCTGAAAGTTTATTACCCAGTTGTGGCATGCAATTATTATCATGTATAACTATAGGATATAACAGTAGTATATCACGTATGTTCGCAATAAATAATGAAGTTGATAGTGGGCAGATTTTTGGCAATAAAACATGAAAACAAGTATGAGATTCTTCTACGTCAAATTATGGTAATTAAATGAATGGAGTTTTACGTTCTCCTCTTTAACACTTAATTGGGCTAATGAAGACGGACAACGCCGTGACGACGAACTGTCGAGAGATCTTCAAGTGCACAGTCTGTAGCACATGGGTTTTTGGTCCCACCCAAAAGATTAGAAGGTTTCATGTCAGCCCCTCTGACAGGGAATCCGGGTTGAAAAATCCGGAAAATGGTTGAAGGTTTAAGGTGTACAACTGATATAGCACTAATTTTCGAATGGAATCAATTCGACCTCCATCATCATTTTATGATTACAATGTTTGTCTAAGTCAAAATTGGTTATAAAAAAATTAGTTGGGTTGAGCCCTCTCAGTTGCATGTTCTTGATGACTGTCTTATGGTCAGTTTTGTCCATTGTCCAGTGTCCAATAATAACACTATAGTAGTTGTTCTTATGTCTATTATTCATTAAATGATCGTACTTGTTGGTGGCAGTTGTTTGAAACAATCCGATTGACATATTTTAAGAATTTTTCAGCCAACCCTCGTAGTTCACAGAATCAGAAATTCAAAAAGAGAAAAATCCATCACCCCCCGCCCCACCCCCTCCAAAAAAAACAAAATAATGGAGCACAATTTAAAATGATAGTAAATTCGAGTCACATTCAATAAATATATAACGCTATTATCCTGCTTATAAATCATATCAACACTTCAATTTTACTTATTATTCCAATTATTAATATTTAAAATAATTTTCAGGTTTGATCTGAGATATTCGATAGATCATGATCAGTCACATCAAAGCAATTAATTAATGAAAATTCTAATGTCTGTGTATGATTTCAATGAATCAATTCTTGTTCAATTAAAACTGATTAAAATCGATGTTCAGTCGATAAAGAACAATGGAATCAAAAGGCATGACAATATCAAATGCTAGAAATTCATGTTATTTTCTCCGATCGATCTTTTATTAACTTGAAACTGTCAAATGACACAAAAATGTCAGGGCATCCAGAAAAAAGTCAAGAACAAGTTTGGCTTGTCACCATAATTACAAGAATATAAGACCAAAAATAGTTATCACATCGTACGATAAGGTAATTTGAAATGGTAAAGTTTTTAAATTTGGTCATAAATATTTCATTTTTTTTACTAGTTCCTAGGTCTTCGGAGCATGAATAAATGCCGCAATTACGCATGCATGAGCTTTCCTTGATGCGCCAGTAACAGGACTGACCGATGGACCACAGAAGCATAAGTTTAAGTTGCGATGTTATATTCTGATTTCTGAAAATAGACACAATGTCAGGCTGCGGTGCATTCAGATTTTCAGATGGCGTGCTCGTTGTATATTTTACCAATACCAATAACTTCGTCGTAGTAACATCGAAAGTGGCTATAGTTCATGGAAGTTATCTTGCCCGGCAGATACTATTGAATTTAAGAATAAAAATGTTTACAAACTCAAATAAATACGATTTAAGGATCAAAGGATCGATAGTATTTAAAGATTGAAAGACAAGTAAGGTTTTAAATGCATTTATTAAATATCATAATCTTTCAGATTGACGTAATCTTTGAATTTCTCGGGAAGAGGTAATTTGGTCACAGCTTTCTTGATATTTCTAGAGTAAGCAAGTTGTTTTCTGATGACGTTTCGACACTGTCGCATCAGCCTATTTTGCTCTGAAAATGCACTGGAGGAACTAACTATTTCCACAAATTCAGTTTCTCCTGCTTGGGATAGGCAAGTTAGAGCCTCTGGATGTAACCTGGTTCCACAGGCCAAAAGGTATATCACAATCTCGGGAACTTTAGCGCTGTGGACTGGATTAGCGCCTGCTTCATTTAAAGCTGATACATCAGCGCCTGCATTAACTAAAATCTGTACAGTTTTACGGCACCCGATCTGTTCTAAAATAAATAAGGACTGTAATTCTGGTGTTGGTATACGACGCGTTCGTTTATAGTAATCCATAGAAGTACTGGACACAATTCTTATGTATTCCTTTCCCAAAGGGTTGCATGCGGCATGTAAAGGCGTGTTGCCATTCTTGTCTCTAATGTTCACTTGAGCATTACGATTGAGTAAATATTTCACGCTACTTGTATCGTTGAAGATAATACTTTGGAATAATGGTGTCCAACCATTGATATCGGGCATATTAATATCAGCTCCATTTTGGTAAAGCAATTCTGCCAAGCCGTAATGTTTGCTTTCGATAGCTCGATGTATAGCCGTTCTTCCAGTAATATCACCAATATGAATCAAGTGTTTGGGGTCACGAGCTAGTAATTCAGATGTTATGTCTTGAAAGCCATAATAAGAGGCGTAATGTAGTGCTGTCATATTTGACCCATCAAGACCATCAATTCGAGCATGAAATCGCAATAAATGTTTAACCAATGTCAAAGATCCAGTCATAACGGCAACATGGATTGGCCTCCGGCTTCTTGCTACTACTTCTGGATGCTCCACATCCGCTCCGGCATATAATAACATCACGGGTATTTCTGGGTTCAGAGATCGGCGTTCAATTGCATATATTAAGGGTGTTTTATGAATCAGGATGATACAGTTAACGTCAACCCCTTTATGGACGAGTTTTGCAACTTCAACGGCATTGTTCGACTCGATGGCACCAACAAGCTTGAACTGAAGTTCCTTCAAGTATCGTTTTCCTGAAACATTTGAATAAATTCTTCTGTAAATCGATATAAAAATATCGCAATATGAAATAGTATTAACATTCACAAAATTTCCCCTAAAATAGTATCACTTTTTCGTGCGTATAACTTCCAAAATGAAATTCAAATTTTGAGACCACCTATCCAAATTTCTAAATACTCCTTCCAAAGATTTTACATTTTGGAGAAACAAACCAAATCTTCCCAGAAATCCAAATCCAAAACCTAATAAACCTTCTGTGCATTGCGATAGGCCTATTTAAAGTAAGAAAATGACCATATGGAATATGTTCATGCAATTGTCAATAGGCAAATACATATTTATGTTGAAGACGCCTTACCAATAGCAAATATACTTGACTGCAATATTCATGTAGGGCCTAATGGTGAAATCAATAGGCTAATGTGAAAATTACCTTTTGGGTTTTGACTAAATTTGATGAAGGAAAATTTAGAAGCATCTGGAACTGGTGGTGGATTGGGTACTTCTGAAGGGTTACTATTATCACCATCGTTTGACATTATTACAGACGATTTTAACCGTTTGTTGAAATAATCCAATTCAATTCCATAATTGCTTAAAATACAAACGTAACATAACAAAACCCATAAGACTAAGAAAAGACCTGTAGGTCCCTTATAAATGCTTTTTGTCCTATCCAAACCACAATCTTTATATATCCAAGTAGCAATCCTTAAAAGGATAAAATCCTGAAAATTCAAATCATATACGTTTTCCTTCGGTAGGCTATATTAGTTCCTGTTTAATAAATAAATATGCTAATTCGGCAGCTTTACTGGATAACATAAGGCCGCCACACACAAATTATGCTTTCCTTAGTGAAAAGACGTCATTTCCTGGAACATGTTTGACGTCACATGGTGACGCAAAAATCATGTAAGGGCCAAGTATATGGCTTTGGAAAGGATTATTTATTCTGTATTCATAGTGTGTCCGATCACCATTACCTATGGTTTCCGTCACGCATCTATCGTACATAACAGTCATGAACCGTTTTCAAAGATACCTCACTGGGAAAAGATTTACGAAGAGAAAAGTTTGAATTGTTGTGTTAACAAATTTATGAGTTAGACGCATCTTCACAAATTCGCCAACCTGGGCTTAACATGCTTAATACCCTGCATCTCAATTTTTTGTGTGAAGCAAATGATGTTTATAATCCGACGATTCTTAGTTGGTTCTGTATATTAACCCAAAATCTTTACTATGCTTATTGTACAGAAGATAATTTTCAATGGAACTCAGTAATGAATTTGAAATACGAGGGCAGACGAAATAACGGTATGATGTTAAATTTTATATACACTGGTAGTGATGGGCCTCCGTACTCATTAAATGCGATGTTTTCATACATCGATCAAGGAAGAGACCCTCGAGTAGGCCTAATGCGAGTTTACATTAGAACAATCAACTGAACGCTGTTAAAGAGTCTAACTTTGATATTAATTACGCAACAGTAGACCTCGTGGTTTTGTAGGCCTATAAAAATGTGAAAGAATATCGAAATTATTCAACATACCCGTCCTTCACCGATACAGAAGTCCAGAATAGGTCATGTCTATTAATAGTAACATAAATAGTACGGAACACGCGAAGTGTCTGTACAAATCATCTATGTACTTCTCATACATAGTCATATTTCAAAGCGTTTAGTTCTGAGACAATGACAAAAATTTTGTAATCAAAAGGGGTTGTGGATTTATGTGATCTTGTGCTTTTAACACAGAAATGCAAAATTATAGTGCAAGTTTGTATGATGACACACAATATCTGATGTAAAATCAAGGGAAGTAACTCAGCACAGAAAACCTGACGTTATATGAAATTAATGAAGACAGGACACCTCCGGTAATTCATTTGCAATCTGTTTCCATGTTAAATCACGAAATTCAACCTTCTATAACTTTCTAAGAAATCTCGTTGAAAACTTTCCAATATGTCACATGAAAGCCTGGCTAATGTTTAGTTTCTGGACGAAAACTAAAGATGATGACCATGAAAATCATGAGCTAGCCAAACTGAAAGTAGACCACTACATTTTATCAACATCCGCTTGACTCACTGCATACAAAACGACAATTTTTAGAATTATCCTTCTGTAAGGATAACTCGCTGGGGGTTGGCTCAGAAAAAAATTATCTCTGAATCTTATAAACTTTATTACATCATCAACAAACACTCTGTAATAATAATATACACAATTAAAAACAAATATAATACAATTAAAACATAAAACACCGAATATTATTATCACAGTAAGCTAAATAATAATATACACATAATTAAATATAGAACCTTATGATAAATTAATAAGGATGATATATGCAGAGAAAATATATGTAAAAATGTAAACCCCAAAGGTGGGGGGTTTATCTAACAACTGCTATTCTCTTAACTTATATTATTTTCTACAACTGTAGAAATCCTGTAAATAAAGGATTATTATTATAAAAAGTAAAATGGTGTCTTAAATGGTGAAACAGAAATATTAAACATGGCTGCCAGATGCTATAAATAGCTAGAACATTACTACAACCACTCTTCTTTCCATCAAAAATATAGTTACCCAAATACTACAAATTACCCTAGATAATAACCCAAACACGCATACCTGAAGAAAAGTTGTTTTAAAGATGGTAGAATTTGGTAGAGAAATTGAGGCTCCAAACAGATATATATTATGTTCAAAAGATTGAAAAGAAACGACTCTGTTTGGTATCCAAGGTCCAAGTGAGACTACAGAGTTCTAAAGTGATGAAAACTTACCAGCAACTCACTGGACTGACTATACTAAAAACAGTTCAGCCATTGTCCAGTGAGACCAGTGTAAGTTAAAAGATTAGAAAGGGCAATAGTTAATGTTAGTAAGGCCAATATTTAGTAATTATGTGGTCTTTATAAATCAGCTATAAAACATCCATTACTTAAACCCTGTAAATGCAGACGGAAGAATATAAAACCGATTTCGGAAGAAAGACTTAAAGAAATTCGTGGTTAATTGTGGGGTTTATCATCAGCGGCGGATCTTTATTCATGCAAATGTCAAGCCTTTTCTTTATAAGCGTTAAAGAAGTGGCACTTCAGAAGAATGTGAACGTTCATATTAGTTTTATGATTACAATGCACAAGTCCAGTTTATGAGTAAGCATTTTTTTCTACAGCTCTGATAAGATCCTTACTGTTGCATTGTCATCTGCTGTCTTCAACGATCTTTTACCACCTCAAGATAAGAGTGGGAAACATACTCCTGCACTAGAAAAATGTGTGATGATATCCAAAAGCCTCATTACACATCTCCTTCCATCCTGCCATCAGCCATTACAGACGCGAACATGCCCTTCGTATTAATTATTTATCACCTATGAAATGGATGAATCCAGCAATTGCCTAATATGAGACCCATCGAAAGTTTGTCAACAATGAAGATTAGCTTTGCTAAGTTCGGAGACGAATGTCAACTCTGTATCCTCTTCAGTCAACACATTCATGATGATCCTACAGCAGTAGCACGATGTAGTGTGTGCCACGCTGTTCTTCTTATTTAGAGCCACAACTAGTCGAGATAAGTATCGCGAAGATGTCGATAAGGGGCATGATAATGGTAGCTTCTTCTCCAGTGACATGCAAAAGATTATCGTGTTACGAAGATTTTCTGGAGTAAAATCTTGTTGTTTCACCAAACGTCCTTCCTTTTAGGAGGGTAAACAGAAAACCGGTTGGCATTGTGCTCGAAACGCCGAAGATTTTAGGGCTATGCAAGAACCATTATATCGTGACTGTAAAAACTTTACATTTGATGCCAATAATTGCTGTGTCCAAAATAAGAACTGGACATTCTGCCCATACCTTTTCCGGTATAATTAAGTCACAAGTTTTACGATTTCACCGAATTTGTATAAGATCTTCTAATTTCAACCAAGTCTGTACGATTGTCTTCTCAAAACTGAAAGAGCGTGTGTACTCTAAACGATTTTTACGAAACATAAAATATTCCACTTTAGCAGAAATAGCAGCTAAAAACAGGCTTTATGCCGAAGGCGAAGTACCTCCAGGTTTAAGGAGTGCTCCATGTTTGTCCAGTAAATGCAAACCATGTCCCTTTATATCAGAAACGCATTATTTTGTAAGCAACTCTACGAATAAAAGGTACCCGATCCAGGAACATCTAACATGTGAACATTCGAATGTAATAGATTTAATTTCATATAAGAAATGCCCCAAACAATAGTAGGAGAAACTAAGAATAATTTACGAACTCGCTTTAATGCGACAATAAGCCTGTTTCTAATCATTTCAACCTCGACGACCATTTAATAGACGATCTCACCCTAATCCGAAATGAGCGTATAGAAATTGACTTGTCCGAAGATGAAACTACCAAATTCAGGGAGGCCCATTTGATTGAGACATTGAATACAGCAAGACCTATAGGACTAAATATTCACCAGAATGAAGGCATAGCACCCTTTTTGTTCCGTTCAATACAACCAGCAATCGAGCAAGCTAGTTCATGCCCACTATAAGAGCCTTCAAGAGAAATCCCCCCATGTCTATAAGCAGAAAATGATAGTTGCATATTCAAAAAATAAGAACATGATAATATTGTTCATAGTAAAATAAAAACAGATACTATACTTCTCGCCCAGATCAAAATCAGAACAGAAGAAAACCCAATATCAAGACCCTCAATCCAATTTCTAAATAAGGTGTCTGCTCCACCCTAGGCTTGTACATTTGAGAGAATCAAACCCTCCTTTCCCCGAAATCTAAACCAATTTTGTCAACTATATGCGAATGTAGAGGGGTTCTTCTATGATCTTCTGGAAGAATTCTTCGGGTAAACTTTTTTCAAAAAAGGGTATCCTCAAAAATTCTTAGAGGTAGCAGATAGGGGGATAACAGTTTGCAAAAAGTGGATGATCGGCATACAACACAGATAA